CAGCAGTCCTGGAGGGATGACAGGCATAAGAAAGTAACAATAGTCAAAAAATATTACTTCCCCTCTGCCTCCTTTCTAATGCAAAACAGGGGGAACCACAAATTTGAATATTTATTTTTCCAACTTCTAATTTTAAAAATGGAGTTTCAATTTTTGACTGCATCAGTACTTTTAAACTGCTTCCTCAAGCAACCCATTTAAACTGTGATGTGGTAAAAAGACACTATAAATTAACTTAAACTCAGTATGTGGCTTAACTAGAGACTCCTTTCCTTGCTTGGTGTGAACAGGAACAAATTTGTGTAGGTGCTGCTGAGAGGGTTTTGGAGATTTGTGATAGAATGTGCTCAGGTCCACAATGGCAGATTGGTTCATGCTCCAGGATTTAAGAACATGTTCTATGGGCTTTTCAAAAGCAGGAGTTACTTTTGGTGCACATTTTCTTTGTGATACAGACTTTGTTAGGTCTTTCTGCAATATTTTCCACTGCTTCTCTTCTAGAAATTTCTGATGCAGCTTGTTACCACGGAGAAGACAGCCAAAACATGTGGTTGGGAAATTTCATTTCTCATCTAGCCAAAGGTTAATCATTCATTCTAAAACAGCAAGAAGGAATCCCAGTAAGTGCTGGCCAAGTAGCCAATAACACCAGTTCACTTCTTACTTGGTAGGCAAAGATGATAAATGCTTGCTGACCTGTGCAAAAGGAGTTCTGCTTCAGGTATCAGCCCTTGGTGAATGCTACGATTTGACAATGAAAACATCAAAAAACTGTTCCCCTCCGATTCCTCAAAATGTCAGTACTCGCTCACCATCTTAAGCCAGCGTTGCCTTCTCAGCAGCCTTAAATAATTCCATCCCTAGAAAACTAGTTTTTATCTAGACAGCCAACTATACTAACCTTTCTGTAAACCACCTAAGTAACAGCAAACAAATCTTTTCTGACTAAATTAGTACACACGGGTACCATACTTCCCATGTGTATGGGAGACAGCATGACCACTGGAATGTATGAACAAAACTCCCCTGAAGAAATTAAGTTATGGCAAGTGGAAACGTGAAAGAAAAAGCCCAAAGGGCAGTATTAACAAGCTCTAATATTATTAGCACTACCTGATCTTGGATCCTAGAAAACCCTCCAAAAAACTTAACATATTATTTTTTGTCACCAGACAATAACATAAAGAAAAAAATTCACTCCTCAAATATCTCAAGATAGTTACCCATGGAAAAAAATTAAAATATGCCAGCCGTTGCCTCTGTTTCTTGGTTTAAACAAAACATTTATTGTGGAGTCTCTTCTTCGTATCATCCCAATGGCACGTCAGCAGCAACACGCTAAATAACGAACACTAAGTATTTTAGGCGTCTTGTAACAAAGCAGGAAGCATCGCTGCCTCTCCCTGCCTCACAGCGTACTATATTTGTGTATGATGCCAGTCAAACCTCTCTGGAAACCTTGTTGATCTTTATAACATTATGCCCAAAAGGTAATGTTTTTGTGAGTGCAGAGGTGGCTCCAGTGCCTCTTCTTTCAGAAATTTTGGCCACTCAGAATTAAATACAGTTCAGATTTCTGTCTACCTGAAGCCATTTCTGCTGCAGTCAGGAACATACAGCTCATTTGAAAATAGTTACTTTATTGCTAATAACTGCTCTCAGCGAAATGGAAATTCATCAATTCCAAAAGCAAAACACAGACAAAAGAGTGAATATAGAACATGTGAAGTTTCTCTGAAATATCTTCTGATAATTACTAATAATATTCAAACCCTTTAACTATTTGCTAGAAAATATATGAAATGTCATATATCTTGCCATGAAGAACTTGTGTATTACGCTCTATGTGTTAACTATTAACTTATTTTAACTTATTCTACACAAGAGATCAGATGAAATAGATCCTACACAGGGTACACAAAGGAGCTGAACACCAAGTAAAAGCGTGACAAACCAACAGAAACCAAAACCACCACAGACTGGTATTTTACAAAGCGTTTTATTTCCCAGTTCTTTCTGCAATGTCTCATAATCACTATTTTTGTTTGCAAGATCAGAATAAATGTCAGCGTACCACCAAAAGTATTAGCCTGTGGTTAATGTCTAAAATATCTTACCTTACTAATGATAATTATGCTGGCTGACTCTATGGTATCTTTTGTTACCACCTGTCCACAGTGAAACTTTTCCATTTTGCAGTTATTAGCTAATCTCACTGGTGATCTCTCAGATCATTTTGCAAAGAAGTTCACAAGTCTGAAATAAAAGGAATGGAGACACTTTTTTCATAGATTGAACTGGCTGAATAAAACCACGTTTCGCTATGAAAACATTAATACTTTTACAACTGCAACCGATAAACCCTAGGCCACAGCCCCTGAAGATGTTAAATTTGGTTCCAGGGTAGTTTGCCTGCTTTTTTTTTTTTTTTTTTTTTTTTTTTTTTTTTTTAAGATGCCAAACTCACTTTGCCTGATCCAAGTTCACAAATTTATGAAGTACTTCAGTGCAAAAAAATTTTTGGTAGCTAGTTAGCATGGATAATCACATATTATTCCAGAGCAGCTGGTGGCTAAGCAAGCATGGCTGTCCCTGAGAGCTGCAAGATGGGGAATTCCTTTCCCTTTCATAGAACTTCAAGAGAAACAAGAATTGTTATATGCATTTTTTCTATGGTCTTGGAATAAGCCAGGAAAGCTTATGGAATAGATTATACAATAAATAAACACAGTAATAAAAAATGAGTGATATAATTGGAAGAAATTAACTTGATGAGGTTATAATGATGGTGCAATCCCTTCTGAAGGTCATCTAATTTATTATTAGTCTTCTTTATCCACCACAAATAGCTTTGTGTCTTTCATATAGACAACTAAGAATTCACCATGTTCCTTGTAACAGAGACTCTTCCTTTCATACCAAGATGTGGACAGAACGGAAGAAATTAATTTTGCTAATGCTAGGAAGCTATCCGTCAATTTTGTATTCCAAACAGTCCCCCTATTAGAAACCATTAAGTGCATCACGTCACCTAGTACCCTGTCTAGATACTCTTGGTGGCCAGTGCCAGGTATTTTTGGTAGGTGGTGTAAGAACCCACATACAGAATTTACCTTCTAAGGAAGTTCCCGTCTCAGTCAGGAAAGTAATCTCTGAAAGCACAGAATCTAAATCTCATTCCCAAACTCTGCTTATTTCTTTTCCCAAGATTAACACGACTGTCACCAAAGATGCCACTGACCCCAAGCTGTGCCCCCTTCTCAAGCACAGCTAGATAAAATGCTGTGAAGATGCAGCATCATTAACATCTGTAAGAACACTTCCAAAGTAGATAAAATAGAACCTACTGCTTCAGCATCCTTTCCTCTGAATGATTCTCCCATGCTCAAATCTGTAAAATATGGCTGGCATTCTTCTCCAGCAGCAATGTCAGGGATTAGACCTGTTCCTGAGTTGATTCTGAATCTGAGATTTATTCTAGTGAAAAGGTGAACAAGTAGAACTTGAATGGCCTAACCAGGATACATCCAAAAATGCAACTCCTTATTCAAACAAGGTGCACTCCTTTCTACACACAGAATGGTGACTTTCAATTTGATCCATTTTATGTCCTACTTAAAAAATTAAAGGCAATAATGGCTTGCAGTGATCAAAGAGAACTCACTAATTATTTTCCACTGTGGCTTGAGTCCAGATATAAATTTCAAGTACTTGATGCCATGTGAGAAAAATGAATTTAATTTATTGCCAATTAAAATAGTGAGAAACAAGTACAAATTAAAGCAGCACCTTCCCATCATGCTCCCCTCTTTCCCCAGGCTCAACTTCATACCTTCACACCCGTCTCCTCTACCTCCCTCCCTGCCCAAAGCAGCACAGAACAGAGGGGAAAGGGGGGTTGTGGTCAGTCTGTAACAGCTCCTTTCTATCACTCCATCCTCCTCATGTTTTTCTCCTGCTCCGCCATGGCTCTTCTCTGCAGGCTGCAGTCCAGCATGTCTGCTCCTGCACGGCTCCTCTTTGTGGAATGCAGTTCCTTCAGGAAATCTCCACTGCTCCAGCATGGTGTCTTCTGCAGGCTGCAGGGAAACACCTGCTCCGGCACCTAAAGCAATTCCTCCCTCTCCTTCTTCTCTGACCTTGGTGTTCAGAGGACTGTTTATCTCACTTTCTTCCTCACTCCTCTCTGTTGTGCAGCATTTTGCCCTTTCCTAAATACACTTTCACACAGGTGCCACCAGCTTCACTGATGAGCTCAGCTGTGCCCTGCAGTGGGTCCACAGCAGAGCTGGCTGGAACCAGCTGTGTCCTGCACAGGGCCACCCACACCTCGGCACCTGCACTCAATACAGAAGCATAACCTAAAAGCTGGAGATTAAGACCTTCCTGACCCTCTCCTGTGCTCCCCTTCAAGTTGTGCCCAAAGAGTCATTTATGGGGCACACTATGGGCCAGACTCACAGGGTGATCTGGATTCAAAACAATATAAGGGGGAGAAGGACAATTATTTGTACTGATAATTTGCTAGTATACATAGTGCAAGATGCTGTTCTCATCAGCACAGCTCTGCAGTTGTGCTGGCCTGTGTGGAGACCCAGGTGCAGGAGCAGAACCTGTGGCAGGCACTTCCTGCAAGAACTTCTGGAGTGAAGGGGGCAGTGGAGCTCACCCAGTATCTCCCCCTCCTCAAGCAAAACACATCAGCATCTTACATTTCAGTCATGCAAAGAAATCAACCCCCAGCACAGTAAGGCAGAGAGGAAATTAATCTCCAGACATGGAAAACTGAGGATGATAGAGCAGTTTTTTTAAAAAGTGATATTTTTGTTTCTGTGCTGCTCTGGATGGGAGAAAAAGGCAATGGGAGAAAGGCAGAAAAGTGGTACATAAGAATGTGTTAACACAATTCCCCCACTCCCAACAAGTGCTGAGTATAAGTATAGTATTAGGAGACAAAAAAAAAAAAAGGGGAAGGCCAAGGAGTGGTAATTTTGTGTATTTTATAGTATTATGTTGAAAGTTAGACAAGTACTAGAACCTGACATGAAAAGCCTGTGCACCCAGCAAATTACTGTGAAAATACTGATTTAAAACTGGTAAAGCCCCCTTTCCACAGATCATCTGTTCTCAGTAGACAGTCAAGAAGGTTCCCACTTTCTCCGTCTCTTTACACGTACAAAACACCTCAGATGTGATAACAGCTTTGTCGACAGCCAAGAACGTGGAGTTGTTACACTAGTTTGCATTCAGAAGATAACTAGTGCACTGCAGATAAAAGCAAATATACACGATTACCATTCTAGCTTTTATTAATGTGAGCTCAGAGCATTAATAGCATCAAAATCAACAATAAAAAAGTTGCACATTAAAAAAAAATTACCATTTAAAGTGAACCACTTCAGCCAGAAGAAACTGCAATCTTGAGCAGTAACTTTGAGAGCTTTCCATCTCCAGCAAGCAGCTTTTTACAAACTTCACCTCCTCTTCTGTTCTCCGTTCTGGTCTCTTGCCGGTTATCTGGAGTACTCTCAGAGGTAAGTGATCCTGAGAAAACATTCAACACATAGTGAACTAAGAGCTAAAAGTAGAAGCCAAGGAGGAAACACCTGCACACTTCAGAAAACTGAAGAGTGTCATCTGTAGAGAAACAAATAATTAATTTCCAATTCTCTCTCCCATTTAATTTTAGCTTTGAGAGAAACATCTGTGAGAAAAGTTAAATTTATGTCTAAAAGACCAATGACCTGACAAAGCACAACTGAATTTTTAGCACAGTCCTTTAGGAATTAAACACTGTACACTTAGATCTAGAATGTATTTTTTAGGCCAAATTTGTGGCTAATTAGCAAAACCACTGTTAAACTGGAAGTTGGGGAGCGGGGAAGGAGAAACAGATTTGTTTTCCTCCCACTGCTGACCAGTGTTTCTCCCAAGATGTTTAAGAAAAGGTACTGTGTGGGGAGGGTACTATGTGAAGAGCAAGAATGCCTACTTTTACCATTATATTCTTCAGTTACTTATTTCTTCTACCAGCTCCCATTCCTAACACAGCTTAAAATGACAGCATGCTTGAGGGTGACCGTTCTAGGTGCTCCCAACTCAGACTATGTACACTGACCATCAATTTTTCATAAAGGGAGACCTCTACCTTCCCTTAAACTGGAAAGCAGAATTCGATGAGCCATCCTTGAGGAGATAAATATGAGCAGCTTTGCATCAGGCAGAAACACAAACACAGCTCTTCTTGGGAGCTGGAAGAAACTGAAGGTTTTTCTGCTCAATAACTACTGCAGAACACATGGGCACAGCCTCAGAACATCTCCCTAGCTCAATTAGAGCTCAGATTAAGAACAAACTCACAGTTGAAGACCCTGTCAGTTCTTGAGACTTGACTATGACACCGTTGGTTTCACTAAACCAATGCAAATTCCAAGCACAAAGAAAATTTGTCACATCTGGATTTGATGTGACACAGATGTTTATAAACAAACTATGGTTTGCAAATATTGTTATTGGCATGCTGCTGACCAGGGCAGATTACGCAAATGAAAAGGAAGTGCCCTCATGTGATGGCAGAGGAGGTAAATAAGGATTTCTAGTGTCATCCCTGTTTTCCTTCCCACCCCTTCCCCTGCACAAGTTTGGTTCTATAATTGCTGTTCTTTTTTTTGTGGAAGACTCTGAACACAGTGACTTGCAACATAGATGGAAGATCACCTACAGAGGAACAAAAGTGCCAAACCTTTGAAGCTCTGAACACGGTGGTTTTGAAGGACAGTTTGGAATGCTTCCTGTTCTGGATAAAAAAAAAAAACAAAAAACAAAAAAAAAGGGAAAGGCTTTAGTTGTTTTAGGTTATCACAGGGTCAGAAGTATACACTAGTATTTCCTCATAAGAAATTTCTGCAGAAATACAGTATTATCCACTTTAAGTTAGAGCTTACTCTGTAAAAAGCATATACTTGAAAGGACTTCAGACAAAAGCTTTCCACTGTTTCTTTATAAAACAAGTTTTCCTTTACTTTAAGAAAACGTACACAAACAATACAAAGATCAGGAGGCACTGCTGGCCCACAGTTTCAGTATGACATGCAAAGATGGCAAAGCGTGGATAACTATTCATTAACATTTTGGTACATATTCACAAAAACATTGAGATCTGTCCAAACACTAGTCATGTTGTCAAGCAGATCAGAGAGACACCATAATTCTAATACTTCAGAAAAGGAAGGTTTACTTTTATTCTCTATTGAAAAATCCTCTTCCTCCCACGAAAGTGGGCCTTATAGAAGTCATGTGATCAACCTTTAATCTCCTCCATTCCATTCCTGCAGGTCCTCCCATAAGATCTTACACGCTCTCTTCGTGATCTCCATGTCCTTTGCAGGCTTGTACAACTTGAGTGGGCAAGCAGGAAGAACAGCTGTGTCAGAACACAAAGACAAATCATCACTGTTTCTCAAGGGGTGCATTTAGGACTAGCACACAGAACATTAGTCTGGAATGAGGACACTGGGACTGAAGTCCTCCCTATCCCACTCATCTGCCAACACACACACATCTGTTTCTGCCTCTCCTGCTGCCATTTGACTGCCATACCTAATTACATTTTAAATAGTATCTAGAGACAAAGACTATTCTACAAAGAGCAGAAGCAAGTCCTGAGCTTCCCTGGAGCCACTGAACTATCAACATTTAACCAAAGGATAGAGCTAAAATTTTAAGAGTATTTTAGTAGTAGCTTATGCTGTATTGACACTGTCCCGCTGTACAAATCCAAGTACATTAGAAAAATGACCAAATGGCAGATCCAGTAGTATCTAAGTTTTTGCTCTCCAGTTCCTTTTGTACTGAGGACCCACAAATTAACTCTTATGAAATAACTATGCTACAAAGAGATTTTCATCCTCCTATGAGCCTTATCAATCTCTATTAGGAAAAGATCAGGAAGAGTGAGAAATTTAATTTGCTTAGAACAGCATGCTCTTGTTTAAACAGGCAGACTGTCATTAGCAGAAGCCTAGTGCATGCCAAATGAGCAACTGAGTTGTACTGCTAAGGATGGCAGTAAAAACATGAATTCCAATTATCCACATTAAAAGATCTGATTATACGTGCCCTAAAATATTTGCATCATTTAATCACAGTCAAGTGTAATTAAAACTGTATTAAAGTACTACATGCAAACAACTATATTCATGTCTCCATCTTCTTTTTTCTTTTTTTTTTTCCGAGATACATACAATCCCTTATGCATATATCACTTAAAACTATTAAGCATCCAAAGGTAACTTTTTCCATAATGAGGTTATCATATGCATGCATTTCCCAGGTTTTCTTCTATCTAGCGCAGGCTAACAGATGACTGATGAGAATTACTCTCACAGCATCAAATGCTCCTAATTTTCTGTCCAGGGAAGACTCCTTAGGACAACTACACTCAGTATTTGTCCTCAGAAAGCATTCTATGATTTTAAAATCCCTTCTGTACTAGAATGGGATGGGGCCCTAGATGACAAACACCCACTACCACTTTCTATGATAGAGCAATACCATTTATGATTGCTCCTTTGAAGACTCTCCAGAAAACACATCAAATCACTTCAGAAAATTAAATATGTCATATCACGTGCAATGAGATACTAAGGTGTAACAGCTTACATTGGAAAAAAAAAAAACAAACCCAAACGCGCACACATACATTCCTGCCATGTGATGAGATTTTTGCCTTCCCCTCCTTCTCCCATCAAATCATACCTTAGTTGATGCTTGTTGGATAGACCTGCTGGATAGCTTCTGACCTAAAAAAATCAACACAACCTGCTTTACACAATGCTTTTCATTCATTAATGAGGTGCACTGTTGCTGGGAAAAGATAATCATTACTGTGGGATAGGCTCTGAAGCTTATTCCTACAAAAGCTTTGCTCAGAAGGGAAGGGCAGATCAAGGAAAATTTTTGTATCAGAGATCCACAAAGAGCAGTAACTTTTCACAGCACTATCCTGAGCCATCACACACTTTATATCCCTAATGGAACAGATTCTTCCTGCATAACCTTCTGAGGACATACCTGTTGAATAGGCTTAAGGGAACAAATTGTAATTTTGCGAACAGACAGACAAGTCAACAGCCAGCTACCATCCACAGGAACTCAAGTGGTGTAAAAGGAGAGAGGCCAGTTTCCCCAATATAAAGCCCTAACAGCTGGCAGAAATTATCCTTTTCTCATTTTCTCAAATCTTTTCAGTTGCTGTGAATGTAGCAAATGTTCTGTGAAATGTGGCTGGCTGATATTCATTCAGGTGAGGATGATAGGGCCCAAAGCAAGTAAGGAAATCAACTTAATGAAATTAAAAGGAACATATGGACTTAGCATCCTAGGGAGACAGGAAGAAAAACTGAGAGGAGCAAATCTCACCAGTGTTTATTTGTGTGGTGAACTCACCAGCTGCTTCAACAGTATAAGAGTGAAACATTGATAACTGGGGGGCCTGAATGCATGGGACTTGGGTGGAAGCCCTAATAAATATGAAGGAAGACTTGGGTGGATATTGAGCATTCTTGAGGTAGACAGAGCTGCCGTCAGAGGGATGAGGAGAGCAGCAAGTTAATTCAGTTGGGAAGAAAAGGTATATTTTCCTTGGTAACATGTAAAGGAAAAGAGTCTATGCTCCTGGGTTGAAGGTCCAAGAGGAATTTCTTCTTCATATTAGAAGGTAAGAATAAGTGCATCTGGTACTGACCAAAATCCAAGCAGCTCTGTTGGTTTCAAGGACAGGACAGGCTTCCCTTTTCTTCCATACCTTTAAATTCCTACCATGAACTCACCCTATCCACTACTGGCATAGATTCAGGAGCTGTACTGAGCCTCTACAATGGGCTCATAATCCCTTTCCAGGGCCCCGGAGACCCCCCACCGCAGCCCCTTCCAGCCCTCCCTGAAGGACCCTTGCTTTTCACACACCTTCAGGACTTTCTTCCACCTGGTCTCCCTGGAGCTGTCCTACTTGTTCTCCCTTCATCCCCAGAAACCACTGCCTTGTGGTTGTATTTCTCCCCATGAACCCCCATAACCACAACATAGACCATTACTTTAAAAGAAAAAGTAGTTTACATTTGAATAGGAATATTATACATTAAGTTACTATATAAATATATATATACACATACATATACAAACAGTTGTCTCTAAATTTTGTACAAACTGCAACAATCTTCATACCACATGACCAAGTCTGGATTCTTGAACAGCGCAAAAAGGACTCATTAACACTACTGGTTTCCATCCAAAAGGCTGCCAGCCTTGGACGAGAGCTATGGGTGTGTGCCTTTTTATGTCTTCTCTACATTTTAGCAAAAAACTATTTTTGCATGCACATACATAAGCACAGCCTTTCTTGTCAAGATAACCAATCACTGTTACGGGTAACCAACAATAAGGATAAACTGGAGAATACTTTGTTCATTTACACCACTGTGGAAGCTCAGGATTTCTAGGTTTGTGAAATAAATGCTTGAACATAACAACCACAAGAAAACAAAGTAAACATTAGAAAAACATCTACAGTTCCAACACAAAGTAATAACCAACTACTTTGCACCAAGCCACATAGCCTTCTCTGAAAAATCAGCCTCGAGTATTCTATGCAAACAAATTTAAATGCATTGAAAGTGATATTGATTACTTCTGATTTTTTTCATATTACATAATAGAGTCTTTTCTGTAAAATTTAGGTGGACATTAGTGAACTAAGGTGTTAAGCTCAATATAGACACTGGATATGGGTGATGAGTTTGTGTTCCTCCATTAGCAACGTGCACAAATGTAAACATACTCTTTAAAAAGGAAAGGTTATGCTAAATTAAAAAACAACACAGTAATAAACTGGATCATGTATTTGGAAGACAAAGAACAGAAATTCTGTGAAAATGAAGGAAACTGAAAACAAACATGTGAGTATTGGCTGAAGAAGCATTTAAAATAAAACTTTTTTTCATGAGAAATATTGTTCAACACAGGATGAAACTGTAGCTCAAGGTGGGAAGAACAGTGACTGTTAAAGAACAGATCTGTTAGTGAGGGAACTAAGCAAGAACTGATGGAAATGTAACTTCTCTTTCCTTAAGCTTTTACTCCGACCACAAAGGTATTGTCTACTTTGAAGAGAACTAAACCTGAAATAACCTCTTGCTGGTAATCTTTAGCTATAATTTATTCTTTGGAGAACAAGCATTCTCAAAAATCAGGAACAATTCTCAAAAAATAAGTAGTATTGAGAAAGGCTATATACTTTGGAATGCATTAGTTTAAACCCTAAGGAAAACCGAACGTGATGGAATCACTGAATACAGCAGCATGGAAGGAGGTACCCATTCTGGTATATAGTTACCGAGTTGGAAAAGAAAAGGTGACTTCTGCGTGAGTGCTCCAGAACTTTGACTGCAGCAGAGAACATCCATTTTCAACATATTTTCACAATTAATAACAAACTCCAAAAGGGTGAACACCTTGTCAGATTTTACCTACCCAGAAGTGAGTAAGGCTTACCACAAAACAGGTCAGTGTAGAAACTATGAGAGTCTCCAAAGAACTGAAGATTCTCTATGCACTTGCATGATAAAATACTGACTCTTATTTAATAAGAGCATGAACCTTTTGGAAAATTCTAATTTAAGCTAACCCACAAACATTAGCTTTAAATGAACAGCATTAACAGTGTTAGTTAACCTCACAGAAGTTAATATATTTTAAAGTAAGACTAAGATATAGCACCTACCTAACAGATGCGGTATTAGGAACCTGGCCACTATTTAGATGATGTTTGTGAATGCTCTGAATGTATGTGAATGAATTTAACAATGTAAAATTTTCAATCTTCATGTTCATATAATATCCCTGGCACATTCTCCTCTACATAAATGAACCAAGCTTTTTCCCGGTTTTATTTTTTGCTTTTTTTTTTTTTATCTGAAAAAAGAGAAAGTCCTTAGATTGGATTCTTGTACAGCATGCAGAAAAAAAATCTAATTTTATGATCAAGTTCTCAACCACTCAGTAGCAACTAGTGACAAAACTGCTAATATTGCCATATACAAAATACTGTGAACGTTGCTCTAAGAATTCAACATCTGAAGCACACAATGTCATTGTTTAACTTGATACTTATGTTGGCATCAGTTTCATTTCATTTACTGCTTTAAATGGAATCCAAGTTATTTGTAGATATATTTTTTTTCTTAAAGAAACATATCTGTCACAGATTACACAACTCAGCGCTTGTCACTTATTATGGCTTTGGCTTAAATATTGCTCAAAGGTATTTATCTATCATACTCAGTTTTTTTAAAGATTCCTGGTAATTATTTTAAGTAATACAGACCACTTTAGTCTTAGAAGCTGCCATCATTGAACAAGATGAGTTTGTTTTCTGAACAATACAGTGACAGGACACTTGCACCTATTGCTTGGATTTTTGTTACTTGCTTTGTTTTCTTGGGCCTCTCTTTGTTAATAATGTATCCATAAGCCCTACATCACAAACAGCAGGAGGTTAAATCATATTTATCTGAGCTGATAGCGTTAAGTGCATAAAGCAAAAGGTAGGTAAGCTGAAATGGCAGCATCAATCATTTTCCATGAGACAAGACTCCTGCTTTTTGTTGTTATGACCAACTGCTAATACAGTGCCACTGCAAAGGCTGCATGCAGCAATGAACCTCATTATAAAGCCAGAACATAAGTTTAAAGATGTCAAAGTTGAAAACATTCACTGTTACAATTCACACACTTTTCTTCATCATACAACCTTATGTGCACCTGGTCACCTCACCTTTCTCTTCTCCTTGATCTTCACACCATTAACATTATGATCAGGTCAAAGTTGCATTTTCTTAAGCATCCATGTCCTTCATCACTTTGAAATTTAGCATCTTGGACCTTCGTTTTGTCACAAAGACATTGCTGTATTGATACACTTTGCTGTTGGAGTCTGTGGTCTTGGAGCTGGCAGATTCTATGGTCTCTGTAGCGCTGTAACAGTCAAGGGTCTCAAGGAGAAAAGCAAACCCAGCATTGTGATCCACATTCTAAAGCTAAGGAATTAAATTGTGGAAGACCTTCAGAAAAGTTGACCAAAATGGGCCATTTGGATAGGATCCAACTTATTCAAAACTTGAAATAGAAGACAGGTGGTGTTCCACAGGGCAACTGAATAACCTGGAATTGGCAGTGAGATGCATCAGTCAAATCAAAACAGCTGTCAGTCAGAACTAGTGTAAAATACACCTTGTCTGAATGTCACAATACGACTTAAAAAGAATGGCATGACTTTGAGAGCACCTGCCTTTCCTTCCAAGACATTTAGAGTTCTCTGATTTGAAAAATCCTTCCAGGCTTCACAGATTTAAATAGGTGAGGAACTATGTCAGTCTCTGATTTTATCTGGCTCCATAGACAACGCTTTTTCTCTTGGCTCTTGTTTAACTTGGCTCACACAGATAACACTCTCTGTATTTTCTTCAGCTTAAAAACAAAACAAAAATCAAACATTGAATTTCACACTCCACTGATAACACTTCAGCCCCAATAACTATGCATTTAAAAGAAAAATATTTCAGGAACTCAAGCTATTAGGTAAGGCATTTGTGAAGTAACTGCTGTTTAGTTTTACAGCCAGTCATGTCATCTACGGCGCTATAAGACATTGCAAGTTGACGTGAATTTACTGCAGTAAGGGCCCCCTTGAGTAAGAATATGTAAAACATTTTATAAAAAGAATAATATTTTTGGAGATACAAGATTTCTCTCATACAAAATGTCTTTCCCATGGAAAAATAAAGCTAGCATTTTTATTTTATTTTATTTTTATTTTCCAGGGGAAAGGAAGAATGGAGGTGCTATTGCTGAAAAAATTAACTCTAAAGCAAGCTGATTTATTACACTTCAGGCATGACTGGCCACTTCTCAGTGACTGCACATATGTTTTGAGCAGGAAATAGCTTATTCTTAAGTTAGCACTTGGACAAGAGAAAATCCAGAACATACAGGATAATTTTAACCAAGTGCTTAGAAGTGTATGAACACACAGAGAAGAAAAACAAAATACTCTTGAAATACACACTGGCTGAACTGCTAAGTTCAAGTATATGGTGTTTCTTCCAAAAAAGCTCTGTAACATTATTCCCTCTTCAGTCTAGAATGTTTTTTGTCCTCCTCCTCTCCAGACAAAGAACTTGCCTCTGAAAAAAAAAGTAAAGTATCTGTGCATTTTATAGGCAACTCCTCCACATAACTTAGGAATGGCACCAATATTTTCACGATTTCCAAATTCAGGCTGGTGGTGATAGAGTGAGACCTTGAGCAGAAAAAAAACACAGGAAATCCTAAAGGAACGGTGATTTTAGTCCTTGCAGTTATATAATTTTGTATTTGACTGTATTTCTTTTTGTATAAAATAGTATCTCTTTAAAAATTCACTTACAACACTCATCACCTACAAAAATTTTTGAGAGGCAGCAACATTTAGATTGAACAAATGGGTTAAACAACTGAATGGAGGATGTGCATTTGAGAACCTCTCCGAGATTCTTTTACCCTGAATGAAAAGATAATTTCTCAGGACACTAGTCAAATTCACTTATAAAAGGAAAAGCAACCAGTTACACAGACATTTGAGTACAGCAGGCGGAAACCCCCTTAAATTTAACTTTGACAATACTGTCACAAGTAAAATACCCCAATATTACTTTAACACATATGAATTTCAGTATATTTCCTCGTGTACCCTTTATTTTCTTTTTATTTCTTCATGTAGTCTTATATCTCCATTTTCAGAATATTACAGAATTTAGTAAAAATTATGTTTTACTGACCTGCAAAAGTCATTAGGACATATGGAGATAATTATCACTACAGCATTACGGAAGTGTAAGCTATGATCTAGCACATCTTTACCTAGATTTTCCTGCAAAACTACTCAAGAGTCGTATTTTTTGAAGTCATAGATGACTAGAAAAGATAATATAGAAATAATAAAGCATTGCACAGCTAACATTTCAGACTCTCTGGAAAGTCAAAAGGATATGCTGCACTGATCTATATACGCTCCATATCTAACAGGATTTCTTCACCAAGAATTAGAAATCATTCTTTGAGAATGCAAGCTTTCATTTTCAATCAGGTTCCATGGCTGAGAATTCAAAGACTATATTTGAAAACAGTGGTTTTAAGGAGCCTTCTATTTTGATAAGGAAAAATTTTATGGTGTTTATTGCATATTTTTTAAAAAGTATTTTCAAACAGAAGTTTGAAATTCCAAGCAATTACATACAACTCCAAGTGATCACTGCTAAAGCATAGTGATGACTACAGGATCCTAGTGGAACAGGTTGCCCAGAGAGGTAGTGGAGGCCCCATCCCTGGAAACATTCAAAACCAGGTTGGTTGGGGCTCTGAGCAACCTGATCTAGTTAGCGGTGTCCCTGCTCACTGCAGGGGGGTTGGACTAGATGACCTCTAGGGGGCCCTCCCAACCCAAAACATTCTGTGATTCTATGAAAATTCAGAAATCTGCTGGGATGGTACAAAGAAAGAAAGTCATCAAAACCCTCACGTTTCTTTCCAAAGAGTTCTAACTAGATTCAGTACTGGTTATTTCCTATTCTTATTTTTCCTTTTAAAAAAATTATTTTGAAGATCATGATTTTAGCTAAATATTAGGATTTTGGGCAAAAAATATTGTGTTCATCAAATAAGTTGATATTTGGTCAAAGAAAGTGATAAGCAGTTTAACTAAGATGTCATCTTTGTACAGCAAAAACTAAGTTGTTTTTTTTTTCCCCCACAGTCAGCATGTTTTCACAGTAAAAACTAATTAGAGTCAACTGAAAGATGTCTGTGTCGAGTCCCCCATTATCAACACATTTCTCTCCTTTCTTCAAGACACACACAACAAAATCCACCATGTTTTCTATATTTACATATTATTGGGAAGACTGCAACTTACTAAGTGTTGTATGGCTGTCCACAATCCGTACTGGAATAGTCTGTACATCTCCCAAGAGAATCTGATGGACTCCTCCTTCTAGGCTTCTGGAGTCATCTACCCCTCCAACTGCTACCAACGGGCCCATGGTGACCAGACTCTTATCAGAACCAGGCAGAGTCCCAAAAGCAGAGGCAGCAGCGCTATGCTGTGTTAGGCCAGCACCTGCTTGCAAACTGTGTCCCTGACTAAGTACCAGAGAATGGTTGGTTACTGCACTCCCTATGGAATCCAGGAGACTTGCAGGGCTGGGAGGAGAATGGTTATTTACAGCTACTAGGGCTGTTGATCCATTTGTGGAGGTAAAAGTTGACTGCAGCTGTAATCCCTGTGAAAGAGAAGGCAGAAGTACTAACATACCAGTACTTAAAACAAGAAGAATTTGCATTTAGTGGCACATATTTTGCAATGCTGAAACTGAATAGCTTCTGACTTCCTATACATCACCTTTTTTGAACAGCCAATCCTAGCAACGCTAGTCTAAAGTTGTACTAGAAAACAGTTAGGACAATGGTATCCAGCAGCATCTAGAAGACTATTTAATGACCATAAATCTCTAATTTGGGATTGATATTCACTTTCAAAGCATTCCCCAAAACTTCTCATTCCCACAAGAGGTGGGCACTAAAAGCTGAGCAGACTGCTTTAAAAAAAGAGTGAGGTGGAACCAGGCTGTCTTCAGAAAGAGAGGAAAACAGCAGGTAGAACAGCACCTTACTGCAGACTGCATTTCTAGGGAAAGGATCATGCATTTCTTCAGGGTTCAGGAAGTACGAAGGTAGCTTTTCAAAGCAGTAGTTAGGGAAGAAGGCTAAGAGAGCCAGCTTTGAAGGGAGATGAGCGTTAGAAGCAGCTCTTTTAGCATGACATTCTTATCCCCACTCTTCAGCCTTTCAACCTGGAAGCTTACAGATCTAAGCTGGGAGCAGTTTTAGGATTTTAACATATTTTCTGAAGAGGCTGGAGGAGGATTTAAAAGGAACAAGTAAGACTGACTTATCTCACCTCAGTTTTGCAACGTTTTCATTATGAAATGACTGGACCATGTGGAAAATGAGTGCTTGGTTTGAGGCAGAAGCCCACTACCTTCATCTTGGTTCTGCCTTCATAGAGAGCTTAACTTCAAAGTATCAAAAGATGGTAGTGGGATCCCCTGCACCACAGCTATGTGCTAAACGTGACATGCAAGGAAGGCCAAAGTATTGACAGCTATTCCAAAGTCTGTGTTACCTAGCCAGTGTTTGGGATCATTAGCTGAGAGGGAACTTGCTGTTTCAGCTCACCTTCAGTGTTCCCAGGGCAGAATGTTTGACAATCTGTAAATGACTTGACTGTACCTGAAGTTGTGCAAATATCTTGGGCTGAAGTGAAGAGAGTGAAGACAACAGCTGAGCTGTTTCTGGTAGCAAGGACTCCCCACTCTGGTTGGATTCTGCTTTGGTGACGACTGACTCCCCTGCTGAGCTCCCTACAGTGCCACAGAGAGGATGCAGACAGTTATGACAAATTTCTTCCTTCCCATTTAAAAGTCTCCCCTGCAAACTGAACAAACCCCTCCAATCTCGATATAGACATATAAAAGACATGTATATACATATATGCTGTTCTCTTTGCAGAAGAACTTGTATGCTAAAGAAAAAAGGCTGGGTATAAGAAACAGACAATACTGTAGGAAGGCTGTATGTGCCTGTTCAGAGTAAAAGAAGCAGCACCAATAAATCCGTTTTGGAGAGCAAAGTAATTGCAACCTACCCTGTGCTTTGAATTTCTAGTTAGAACATAAAAGCTGAAACATTTCTATCAAAGCAGCAATCAAATAATTTGACAATACATACACCTCAGTAAGGGCTCAATAATGACTCAATACCAAACAGGCATCAAAAGAAACTGTTGTCTTCCAAAATAAAAATCTACACAGGAAATCCTCTAAGTCTCACCACTCCCTTCCAATGACCTTTGTGGAATTAGGATAACTTCTATGCAGTATCACAACAAAAGTCCATTTATCTGGAGGCCTTTCAGCCTACCGATTACATCATATCCTCAAAATTCTTAGTTAATACAAGAATGACAGACTTAATTTCCTGAAGACTTTAAAAATTGAGATTCACTTGTAGCAATTTCTGCAAGAAAACTTCCTGTGGGATCATTCAATTTCCTGTTTGAGCCACCCAGAACATTCTGTATAAGATTTATCCAGACACAAGTAGACATTGCTTAGCCTCTCATGTCACAGTTTCACTGCTATAACTATAAAAGAAGAACTTGCCCTGCGCATGTAGATTGGTCTGGTGAGTGGAAAAAAATTGAGAATAGCCAATCACAAAAAGCTTTCTAGCAGGAAATCATACAAAAGCTTCCAGCAATATGAGTGGAGCTACATTCTTCAGCATATACACCGATTTGCAAACTCTAACTCTTTATTGTAAATGACCATAAGTTACACGATAAATCTCCTTGAACACAACTACTTCAAATATTTAGGATCTTTTACTATACAAAGATCCTATATGCATATATGAATATTCAGGAAGATATGGTAGTTCTTTCCTTAGGTTGTATTCTACACCAACATGCCTAGGAATAAAGCTAATAGTTCAACTCCTAATCTACCCACTCCTTATACTACACTGGGATTCAGTATGAATGCTAGAAGTTAAAAAAACCCCAAAAACATATATAGGTACTTTATCTCACTTGTTATTATACTTCATAAAAGATGTAAAAGGGAACACACTTAAGTTTGATAGTTACAGTGATTCTTACACCTAGGAGAGAGCAGAGGGAGCTGTATCACATGGAGATGAAGAGTTCTGCACAATGAGAAAACCAACAGCTGGATTTACTTCTGTTACTGTTTGATTTCTTAAATGTAAATTTGACTCCACTCTGCATAAGTTGAAATGAAAAAGAAAGTACACAAACAGTAGTTTGAAAAATTAGTGTTGTTTTTCCTTGCTACCACTTCTCATGTATTAATGAGAGCTGATTTTTTCAAAGTCAAGCTTCTTTTTTTTGCTTAGACTTGTAATACAATTATGAACATGTGTTTGCAATGTGTACAAACACATACCCACATATTTAAGTGGAGACACGATATGCTGGAATTAGAGTATCTGCTTATGTTCACTGAATTGGTGCACATGTGCAGAAAACTAAACAAACCAGATTCTCTAGCTTCTTTTAAAACTCAGTATGTCACGGGATGCATGTTTACACATTTGATAGGCTACTTTGCCTTAGAAAATTATCTGTGAAAGACAAAGGGAACAAGAATTGGTCTTCCTGAATCTCCTCCAGCACTCAGACAGTTCATAGCAAAAGTCATCCTTGCTGAGCTCTGTCAGAGCTGTTGAAGGCAGAACTGTTCTGTGACTCTCCATAAAAGTGCAGTAATGGAAATATTAACATCGACATGCAAGATTAAGCGCAGTAAGTCTGCTCATACTGCAAATTCCTTTTTTTCCTTAAAAAACCAAGACTTCCTTAAAAAAGAGGGACATTATTCAAACCGAGCCTAAAACTTTACCTCTTGTTCTCTGACAGTTGTCAACACTGAGATTCTTACCCTAAGAGCACCAAGCGTACATAATGCTTTTCAGTTCAAATTGATCCATTGCAGCAACAGCTAAAATAAGATTTAAACAATCCCAAACAAAACAAACCCCAACATTGGCCTTTTTATTAACTGTAAACTGGTGTACATGGAACTGCTACACATAAATCATGTTCACCAAGTCATTTAGGAGAAATCACACAGTGAGCCAAACCTCTGGGCATTTATTTTTCCTACTACAACAAAGATAAGAAATAGATCAGGGAGTAACAGGGGCCAAAGATGAAAGAAACCCAAACACATCAGGACTTCTTCAGGCAAGAACCACAGTGGACATAACTGTTGACATGAGTAAATCTTTAAACATGACAAGTGTGGCAGTGCCTCTTTGGTCCCTGTAGACTTCTCTATCAGCTGTCTGGAACAAAAAGTACCCACCACCATGTTCCAGTTAAATCAGGAAACAAGCTGGCAGTGCCACTGAGATTAAAAACACCCAAGAAGTCTGCAGCATTATCTTAATGCACGCAACAATTAGGCTCTCGCACCTTGCTGCAATCATATATCCCCGTTAAAAGCCAACAACTTTTCTGATGAATTTCATATCAAACAAGGGATGAGGAAAGCATCCACAAACATGAAGGAAAGTTCTTTTGGTGTTACACTAGACAAAATGTTCTTGAAACCTAGGGAAGAGGGCAGAATAATCTAATTTAAAATTTATTATCAGCCACCGTGATCCAGCGGAGCATCTCAGCCTATGTGTAATCCCAACTATGTATGCAGCAAGTAGATCTAGTTACAAACACCTGTATGTTGTTTTAGTACATGTTTTGAAGTCAAAGTAATAGTAGCAGGAACCCACTTTCAACAAAGGACAATAGGTAACTAGCATCTTCAAAAAAACCAGACCTCCAACCATGAATGCATAAAACCAAGTTTCCATAGAAATTTACACTCTGGTTTTGCAGCAGAGTGGGAGGAAGTTTAATACTTTGTTAGGTAGCTCAGCAGTTGCTGGGAAGAGATACTGCTTTGGCTTCACACGTTAATAAAGAAGTTACATCAGACAAAGAACCGAAGAAACATATCTCACAACCCTACTGCCACTAAACACCTGCGTTTCTGTTTCTATTCTAAGCATTAAGAAAAATGGAAAAGAATGGTCTCAATTCTGACAACATAAATATAGCGTTCATTGTTCAGGGCCTGATCCTAGCAGTGGCACTCATCAAGCCAATGACTTTTGGAGAAGCAGGAATCCCAATATGCATTCAAGTCCTCTTTAGCAAGATGTTTAAGCATCTGTGGAAGCACAAACCATCAAGGAATTCAAGTACGCAGTTGTCTCCTGGGTATTTTGTGCTCTGACAGATATATCTGTTCAGTAGAAATTTAATTCTGTCTACACAGGTGTTATTAGCACCTTCATGCAAGGCAAAATGTTTTTCCACATAACCATGTCAAAAAAACCTTCAGTTGCTTAAGGATGCTAAATAAAAGACAAATTTATAATTTTCATACTTCTGCCAGCCCCATCATGACTAAATATATTTTTCAGCACATGCATATTCTAAAAAAGTATGCCAAAATAGACACACCAAAATAATCCTTCTTAAGTTCAGCTGAGTGACAGTAGATGACAGCAACCTCTTTGGAAGAGAACTGAACTTCTGTGACATAGCTAATAAAACAAATCACATTTGGAGACAGCTAAGTTACTAGCGCAGTCCTACCATCTGAAGGTGGTGACGCAAACGTAACAGTCACTGTTTCTGTGAGAACATTCCCACTGTCTGTGGTCCACTGCAGCTGAAAGGAAAAAGATCTCAGTTCTCAGAAAGGGTGCAAGTTTGTCTACTACAGGAACACAGGCTCAGTACAGGACCTGTACAAAAACACTGTCTAAAACTACACTTTATTATTTTCTTATAACTATGCATTTTGGGAGTTCTTGGTTTAAAAACACCAAAAAAAACCCCCACAACTGTAAAAGATTTCTTTAACATGCACTATGCAAGGAAGGCTGAAGTCTGCTCATGACAGTTCAAAAGACTTTAAAATAGAAAAATAGTAAAATGATTTGGCTAACAAGTACCACCCACTCACCTGGGCCAAGAGCAGTGTAGGGAGAGGGAAAAGACTGATGACACAAGATGATTTAACAGTACAGTTTGTCAAAGCTGATTTTAAATCAACAATTCCTTAGCAGTCAGCCTCATAATTGGGAAAATTAGGATCACTGGGCATCTATTATCATTAAATAGGTGGAAGAAAATTAAGGAACAACACACAAGAGTTACTGAGCATTCTGAAGTATCTACTTCATGCTTACTTCACTTGCTATCAAGTGCATTTATTAATATTTCCACATTCAAAATGTTGTGCAAGCCCTAATTTAGACTGCACCTGAGACATACTTCACGCAGATTTTTCAGATATGGAAAAGCAGTAGTAACTTCTCCAAAACACAGACAATGATAAGGCCATGAATAAAATTTTCTGGCGTGTGCCAATTTTTCTATACCACATGGCTTCCAGTTCATGTAGTCATCATGAAGTGCTAATATTGTATAATTTGTCAATCAACTAACAGCAATCTAATGCTGATGAGATAAATACCGAATAAGGTCAGAAGGTTTTATTCACATTTAATCCAATCTTGCTCAGCCAGATATTCCACTGAAAATATTGCTGCTGGAAATATAAAGTCATAAAGAATGTTGGATGAAATACAGCTAAGTGGTAAAAATGAAAAATAAGATTTCCAGTATTTAACTCCAAAAATCAAAAAGAAACACAGAGGCCAACATACCGTTGCTGGGATACTGTCTGAATTATACACCACCTCGCCATTCCTCAGAGATTTCTGCACTTCATGAATGTGGTTCTTGATGTCATTCACAGTGGGGAAGAAGGACAGGTTATGTCTTTCTGGCACTTCATCAGGCTTGAATAATTCTCTTTCCACATACTTTCTGTCACATGTTAAAGGACATTAAAATATGTGTATTTAAAATATATTCTGCTATTTCCCTCTGTTATAGACACTGCTACCTTCTCCCTCCCCTTGTTGCAATAACAAGACAAGAGCAAGCTAGATGATCTTCTGACCCAGTTCTTTGTACATCTGCTACAGAGTTTGGAATGAAAAATCCCCATTTATTCAACTAACTTTAAAGAGGACAGCAGCTCTTAGTGGCTACCTACAACAAAATGGAAAAAGACGACAAAAACTGGGAAAAAGATTTTCATGGCATATGAGGAAATATATTCAGTAATGCATCAGTACTGCCATTTAGTTGCAAACCAAATTAATCAAATTCCAGAAGTAGATATAGCACTACAGACTGAAAGCATGCCAGACAGTTCTGTACCTTAGTTGCTTCCTCACTGCATAGACCTGCTCTATTCCCTGACACACCAGTTCTCGGATCTTGTCTGCCACTTGAGGATGAAGTCGGGAAGGCAGAGTACAATTCTCATCTCTAACAACTTCCTCCTCCTCCTCAGGAGAAGACACAGAAAAATGGGACGGTGAAGAAGGGAGGCAGGAAGCTTCCATTTCATGATACTGGTGAGCTTGCTGAGTGGGTAACTGTACATACCACCTGGCAAGAAAGAAAGAGTTTCTACACACAATTCTCAAGCAAGGGCAAAAAAATTAGTCTCCTGGGGGAACAGACTGACAATCACAAACAACCTAGTTAGAGTGACTTCATTTTTTACAGCCCCTGAGCTGGAGGATACTGCCTTTCAGAGCTCAGGGCCCTCTCACATCTTTCAATGCCAAATAAAACAGCTCAAACCCCCAAATAATACAACTATTTCTATCTATTCCCTGCACAAAAACATCTGCTGAAGTTCCACAGTCTGGTGCTTAACACATTTACCAAACTAAATACCCCAGAGGCACTGAAGTCTTACTGACATTGAGGGATTTTTTACTTTTACTTATTAAACAAGAGCCTTAATAAAGTGACTAAGTAAAAAATAAAGCACACCAAGCAAATTATTGCTCTTTTTTGCTTCATTTGTCCAGATAAAGAAAAAAGTGGAATTTTCACCTGAGGACACCGCCAGCATCTATCAAGTTCTTCTTCAGCATGTTGAATGCTTTCTCCTGCTCCATTCTTATGATTTTCTTGTCAATTTTAGGGTCGGTAGGAACTCTGTATTCTGGAAACTTCTGAACCTTCTTAATATAGATCCTTCCAAGGGGTGGGGGGAACAAAGAAAAAAAAAATTCTCCTTCAGTACACTTTGCCCTCAGATGGGAAGGCAAAACCCCCACCTACTTTGTACCAGATAGTAGTACAGAAAAAGTTCAAGCAGAGTGTTGCAGGGGGTGAGGAGCCTCGAAGAGAACTGTAGAATTGTTAAGGACACATCAATAGAGATGGATGCAGATAGATACATATAGACATACTTCTATTCCAGTCTGGAAATCACTCAGCCAGAGTCATTTTACACCTCAGCAAAAATCCTCTGTCCCTCAGTATAACTAAAGCACAACACCGTTGCTGAACAGGCCGTAGTTCATCTGGCTTGAAGACAGAATTGAGCACATACATACCTTGCTGCAACTGTCCAGGTGAACACACTCTTAGCTCAGTAAAAACTGAACAAGCACCCAGGAGGATGCTTAAGGACAAGGAAAAAAAAACATTAGTGCTGGATAAGGAGAAAGTCCCCAGTGAACATGAAAAACTGTAACTCCTTCAGCAAATAGGACACCTGCTAAATTAGGATGATTGACTGATATGAGTGCAATTAAAAGCCTGAAGGAAAAACAAAAAATAAGACCACAAAGTTTTAGGACCAAAAATAGTCGCTATGCTAAAGGACACCACAATAACTAACTAATGCTCAGGTAGAGAATGATTCCCACTTCTATTTCATACCCTGATGTACTGCTACTTTGCATCCAGGCATCCTATTAAATCTCAGCCTCATTCAGTTTAACAGGACACTTCCTCCTTCCCTCCAAATGAGTGTAAACCTCAGGTTAATAAGGAGACAAAGCTAAGAGGTACAGTGCATATCAACTACAACCCCAAACAGTGCTCTGTCGAGGCTCACAGAAAGAACGCTTTCTTCCAGCTTCATAGACAATTCTTACCTTGCTGGACAAGTGGCTTTGTACAGGTGGCCAGAGGTGCTTTCCTGCTCAGGAGCTTTTTTGGGCTGGAACCCTTTCCTCCTTGGCCCATATTGGCACTCCATTACAATGGCTCTGCTTCCTGGGAACAGAAAGTAATGCACTATTCAAGCAACCACTGAAGCCATCACAGTAAAACGTTAGGGAGGATGAGAGTTCCAAAACAGTTATTTCTGTTTGCCATCAGACTCATCAGAAGGCAGAACACTTAAGTGTAGCAAGCATTCAAATATAGTGCAGATGCTTCTCTCAAAGCATTTAAGGAACACAGAGCATTTTCAAAGCATTTCCCAAACTTACTACACCTCATACACTCCTGCAATATATATGAAAGCAAAATATTGGATTCTGCCCTGGTGAATACCAATAAAAGATTAGCAGCCCTGCAAGTTAACAAAGGAGCACAATGCTGGTAATAAACATAGGAGAAGCAGAATCCCCAAATAACCGAGAAAATCCAGAGCTGAAATCAAAGGTCAGCAGCTATTTCCAGCCTCCTGTTTTAAATCAATACTTCAGAACATGCTGTCCCATAAATTCTTACTTGCAAGTCTGACTTATCTGCTGAATCACACTGTTCCAGTGTGGCATAGCCACACAAAACCAGACAGGCTTAAACAAATATCGCTTAGCTCTAAACTTGGGAGTAAGTGACTTCTTCCAATCAGGCCTCTAACAAAAGGGGTAACAGGCATAGCATTGAAGTGGTCAAGAAAGGAACTTCATCCAAATTTCTTCCACATCACTTTTAGTTATCTTTTATTTATAATTCACATACTCCAGTATGCAGGCAAGGAGCTGCCTATACCACAAGTGATATAACCAAAACCTTTTTAAGTATGACAACAGCAACATAATGTGTTTCCATATGATACCAAATGATTTATTGCCCTACAGTGTGACATTAAAAAAATAATTTAAAATAAATAAATGCAAACAAAGAAATAGGAAATTTAAAAAATAATTATGTATAACAAACAGATATCTTGTCTCTTCTTTAAAAACAAACTTAAAATCAAAGTTCTAGTATTGAAAAGACTTCAACATCTTAAAACTAGTTGTTGCTAACATGAAACTCAAAAGCAATTTGATGGGGCCCTTGTTTTACAAAAGTATCAACGATCCAAACTTCTTATTAAAAATAAAAATCAAGATTTGGATGATTAGTGCATGTTTTACACTACAGGGAGCTACCCAGCTTCTCTGTATTTTCCCACAGCTGGAGCACAGCAAGGAAGGTATTACAGATTGGTTCCGCTTATGCAGAAGGAATAAACTCCTCTGGAACAAGACTTTTGTCCTGCACAGTTTAGAGTTCAGAGATTTAAACTGCAGTTCAGTAAATCATATGTGCAGCCTCTGCTCTGCAGGTGAAAAGGATTTTAATTAATTTCATAGAGGAATTATAAACTAAATCTAAACATACTGGAAAGGCAACACATTAGAAATATCCATAATGACTGTTTGGGGTCTGAACACAGCAAAAAAATATTACAACTTAATTATCTGAGTCTCTATTAGTCCACAACACTTTATACATATATATATATATTTTATATATATATATATATGTATATATATATATATAAATAAATCTACATTTGTTTTTGCTCTAAATATCTTACTGTAACAAAATCAGGCAGATCTTGCAGGAAACTAAAGGTGTCTCATATGCATTTTGGGGAAAAAAATAAAAGTGCAAGTTGTTTTGGCTTTGTTCTTAGCTTTCTTATACTTCACAGTTTATGGCTGAAGTTTAAAACTGGTGTTAATGTTTTACTTTTTCAGTTACTTACAGAAAAAAAAAAAAAAAAAAAAAAAACCCAAACACATAACCTACATTCCAGTCATTCATAGTCTCTGTGTAACAATTAAAACCTGTTCATTTCACATCTGAATGAATTTGCAGTAATTTCACATATGCATTCCATGAGCTAAGTATTTACCAACTTGTGAAGTCTGCATTCATTAACAAAAAAAAAAAAATAAATCTGTCTGCTGAGGTACACTGATGTTTATTTTGCTTTTAAAATGTATTTCATATTTTTAAATGGTGCCATTTAAATAGTTTATTGGCTCCTGTGTAACAAACTCTTCAAAGGATCTCCAAGTTAGGCAAGAATACTCAAACAAGCTCTTACCCTTATGAGAACTTTCATGTCCCGACAGAGCAGATGGGACCTCCATGTAAAGATCTCACCACAAGAACCCCCATCAAAGGGTACATAGCTAATTTCTTTCTAAAGAACAAAACGAATTAATCACAACAAAACATAAGCCTGTGGTTTCAGGGAAACAAGCTCCTTCAGACCATGTCACCCAAGCTACTCTTTTTTTATGTTTGTGCCTTGACTTTTTTAACACTAAGAACACCTTAAAGATCCTTCTTTATGGCCAGTTGGCAACTGATGTTGAAATTTTGAAAGTAGTTATTAAAAGAAAAGTTTAGTTACCTGCATTGACAAAGGGGATCCCATCATATGGGACATACTGAGATTTCCACATCAACCGTGTGGCAGGTTTGGCTGGGCTTGGAGACTGGCGCGTCCCCCACACACTTTGTGTTTGCTGCTTGTGTAGCGTTAGAACACTCTCTAATTCTGTCTCGCTCACACAATAGCCGCGGTACGAGTCCCCAATTTTCTGCATGGAAAGGAGGTGAAATAATAAGATTATTCACCCAGCTGACTGCTGAACATTACACAAAAAACCCTAAAGCAGTCAGGGACTCTGGCAGGTGAGGACATAGGCTCAGATTTTTGGCATTTCGTGGGTTTTTTTCCCCATGCTAGTACCCTCACAAATAGATTTACTGTAGGATCTAACACCAGAGCAGTCCCCACCGAGATCAAGGGTTTGTCAGCCCTCCAAGACCCTAAGTACACCAAGAGCCCCTGAAAAGATTAGTTACTGCCAACTCTGATTTCCACAGGACAACTTCGCTCCTGTTGTTTCCCCCAACACACACTTCAGTTGCAGTCACCTCCCAGACAAACTTGTCTTAAGTGAACATTTTCACTTCACTTCCACAGAGGCTCTGTGAAACACTAAAAAATGTCTGCGCATGTACTTCAACACACACACGCTGCACTGAGCTGGAGCAGAATATACCTGCTCGTACCCCCAGTAACTACCTCACCCTTTTAGTGCATGAACTTTGAATTGAATGTCCCACATAATATCCCTCCCGATCTTCAAGGCACTCTTGATTCTCAATGTAATACACAAACATAATGTGCCAGATTTGCCGTGTGCAAACTGATGACCATTTCAATGAACTCTGCTAAGCTCTGGGCAACTCCAGAAATATTGCATCTAACCTGACTCAAAGTTAAAAAAAAACAAAACCAAAAACCCCCAAACCCATGAACAACTTGCTGACTTTGCAACATCCCCTGCGACAGCTGTTCAGCTACTCATAGCCATCACAGCTGGTTCAGTGCTGGTCTACCAGGGCCAGCCAGCAAGCAGCAAAAGCACTGAGACAGAGAAGAGCTTTCCATCTGAATTCAGAACTCTGTGCTCACTTCTGTTCATATGCAGCTCAGGATCAGGCTGACCAAGCAGCTGGAAGTAACACTCAGAGCAGATTGCCAGTTCAGCCTTACAGCGTATCTGTGGGGCAAACGCGTGGTGAATAAGTACTAAAGTCTGATGGATCTATTTTGCCACCTTCAATGACAGAGCAGCCAGATGTCTAAATAACACTGACCACAAAAGCAGCAAGTTTATTATCGCACAAATACTGTAGTGACGACTGCATAAAACCTGTCACATAGCCACCTAAGAAAAACAAAATGTCTGTCGTTAGCAAGACCTGAAGTCAACAAAGAACAAATTAACTCCTTGTGAATGAACTGGGCCAGCACGGTGTTGCTGCTAGCGCAAGCCCAAAAGCAGAGGGTTATGTATGCACTGGCTGCGTGAGTCATTCTGAGATACCAGTTGCTTACACTTCAGCAGCTCACTGCACTGCAAGCACACTGCACCAGCAGTCAAGAAAGTCTACACAGGCTGCACTCTCACAGCTGTGGAGAGAAAGAGAAGCTGGCAATTGTTTAGCCAGAAATAATAACAACAATCCTGTCCAAAACTTGATCTGAACAGTCCAGGAGAAGCGAAGCAGCACGAGAAGTACCACAGTCCCTTCTTTACAGAAACCTGGGATGCCTTCTTTTGCAAGAGGGATTACAGTACCACTCCACACAGCGAATACTGCATGACCAGCATTTTTCTTTCCACATCTTGTACCTGTCACTATAACTAGGTTGCTGACCTTATTCTAGGGAGATGAAAGACGACTGATAAAACTGTTGTGCCAGAAAAGCAGTGATAACAGTTAAGGCACCGTCTCCTGTTCTGGCTTTACCTCTGTGCAAGATCGATCATTTTCCCACAATTGGTGGAAAGGGAGGAGAAGAAGAAAATCATATAGCATATAGAATCCCTGCTCTCTAGGAGCTTCCCAAGTAGGAACAAATGGACAAAGGATACCACCTGCCCCACACAAATAAATTAACTCAGCTTGTACAGTTGATTAATTAATGCAGTTTTTAATTACACTCTATTTCAGTATGCTGCTGCACACTGGAAACGCATTCTGATCAGACCACTGAAAACTAAACAGATTATAGAAAATAACTTTTTTTTTATTATTTAAAATCTACTTTTTATTAACAATATAATGACCCTGAAGAAATCTGATACTTTCCAACCCTGTAACTCCAGCCAAGCTTCTAGACAAAAAAAGGAGCAATTCCTTCTCTCTCCCCTGGCCTCATCTCAGCAAGTACATAAAAGCTTACACTGAAGTACACATATCAAGACTACAGTTTTCCTTAAGGAACTAACAGTGGGATACCAGAGGCTGTCTATGCACAGCAAGTGTAAGCTGAACGTTTTATGGCAGTCAGGGAATCAACACCAAATACAGAGCTCAGTGCTAATTTTGGACAGCTGCAGCTTTTACTGCTCCGTGTTTGCCTGCAGTACTAACTGCCAAGGAGTCATTGCCCTTGTTCAGACTTGGCCAGCTCCCTGGGATATACGATTGGCAGCACGAACCGAGGCTATGCCACAGCTTCACCGGCTGGCATCTTCTGTGAAATTCACACAGAGCTCCACGCTGTTTGTTTCTATCCTGGCAAATAACTGAAAGAGTGGAATTGTGAGTTGCCATATTTAACTGTACCTCTACTAGATCTCCAAATACCAGTTGGACCCTTCTATCCTGTTTCTAGTAACAAAACATTCTGCAAGACTGTCACACCTGAAAGATAAATGACACCTCAAAATCCCATTGTCTCTAGTCTGTGCCCATGAAAAGGCATGTGCATCCTAGCAGTCTCTAGTGGATTTAAGCTGTGTAACTGACAAACTCAGCAAAGCAGCTCTGCTGATAACACACAAGGAAGAAGAGAATTTGGGTTATTCCTCCTTGGATGGGCTCACTGCAGGGAGAACAGCAACAAAATAATTTTTTTAAAGGAACAGGGAGGCTTAATGCATGCAGGCAATAGTTCTGCTGAACATTGCATACAGGCAATAGTTCTGTTGTTTATATCCTCAGAACACATTCAAACAGACATTACTTTGATTTAATTTTCTTTAAAAATAAGAATTCTTCTACAAATGCTACTGTTGTGGATTTTAAACACAGCAGGTAAAATTTCTTGTAACAGATTCAGATAGACCATAATACAAGTGCTCCTATAAAATGAAACCAATAATAAATGATTCAGATAAGCTACATCAATGTTACGACAGGGAAGTATGCCACATAGAGCTAAAAACACAGTTACAGGGGTTATACATCTTACTGAACTTGAACAACTAACTGGCTATTTGAATTGACTCATTTGTTCTGTGAAAACAGCATCTCCACCATGGAAGAATTAGTGTTATTAATTTTCTGACCTCTTAATTCTTAAGTTGATATAACAGTGGAAAATACCATTTATATGAAATAAAGGGCATATAACAAAAAGAGGAATAGATTAATATATTTAGTAAATTTTAAGTATTTTTCTAACTGGATACAGAAAGAAATTCCATTTCTAAGTCCCTGCAACTGCAATTTCCAGTTATCCGTGGCCAAGCCAATAGGAAAAACCTCAAATTGTAGGGATATCTAAAGAGGTGAACCAGCTAGAGATAGTATGAGTTTTCCTCTAAAAAAAGTATTAAGAGAAAGTAAAATAAACATCTATCAGGAAAAGTCTGGTAGTAGGAGGAAGGGGTAGGTGATCTCTCGAGAATCTTCCCATCTCCCCTTCCTTCAAATGATTTATGATGCATTCTAGCTGTTGATATCATCTCAGTCACCAACACGGTTCTGCAGACATCTAACAACATGCAAATAAAGAGAGAGTTCTGTTTAGGTCAAAAGCCATCACTGGGAATAAAGACAGAGCATTTTTTTTAAGAAAAGAGAAAAAAAACACAAGTAACCATGCTGGTACCAAAAAAAAAAAAAAAAAAAAAAAAAAAAAAAAAAATCTATGAGAACACCTAAACCAGAAATCCTTAATAAAACACTGACATTAAGGTGCTCTGTTAAGTCCCAGACTTGACCCTGGCTAGTCACATGGATTTTGATTTCTAAGTGACAGTACAAACTAATATGAACAGTTGCAGACTTAGGCCATACAAAAGCAATTTTATTCTTTAATTAATGGATCACTAAGGGCAACAAAAAATGTTTGCTGAGCAGAAGACAGCAGAGCTTGCACTGTAGTTCGAGAGTGAACTCTAACACAGCACAAAAAGTGTGGAGCAGTGGCTTTTCCCAGCACTGTATGGCATCAAGATTTCAGCAGCACATTTTTTGCTTCAGGAGCTGTTGATGGCCAGTTTTTCTAGTATTCCCAAGAAAGCAAGGGATTCCATAGCATTTTATGTGTTTCAATGTGCTAGTAGTACCAGCTTCATAATATTCATATATTCATATTTCATAATACCAGGAAGCTTGAACACAACTTTTACAACTATGAACATTATTCCTTCCACGGAACAGGATGAGTATCTTTGATCCAGATGATGAAAAGTTAAGTCAGAATTCTTTGCAGCCCACCTCACAGTTCCTGAGACGGCGTGCCCATGCAGGCGTATTTGGCGGCAATGGCTGGAGAGGGCTGGGAAAGGGATCTTCCACTACCCTGAAAAATAAAAAAAAAAAATAAATAGTAAAAATCTATACAAACATCCATGAAAGCAACAGCTTAGTCTAAACTACAGGTAACATATCAAATCAGTGCATTATGTATAACTGTACAGCATATGATCAAACCCAGATATTTTATCAACTTGCCTTAAAAACCTGGGGTTCATTTTCCCCATATTCTATGTAATTGTTAAAAATAATTCACAGTAAATGCAAGTAAATATAAAAAAAAACCCCCACTGTTTTCTACATTCAAGCAGACCTCTGAGCATTCACTATTCACAGTATTCTTCCTTGACAACAACAGATAAAGTGTGGTGAAACAGGCGAGCTGATTTTCTTGATAATTGTCTTAGACTGATGTTAGAATGCTAAAGATTAAAACCAGTATCAATCACTTGTTAAATGCTGTACATTTTAGCATATTTTAAATTACTGAAAACTAGCTCCAATAACTATTTTAAGTACCTAGTTTCTCCATTCCTTAAATCCTATGGCAGAAACAATGCTTACTCGATGTTTATTATTGCAAAACTCAAGTGCATCACCTCCTGTCCATACAAATACATCTTCTTTCCAGAAATATTTTATTTAGTATGTGAATTATTATCCATTCACAAACCGTTTCTCTTCACTTCAAGTGCTTCTCGAATATATATAGTTAGTGCCATAGTGAGATTATTCTAATCTTGTCCACATCTCTATTTCAAAAGAGCATAAACCACTGCGAAGTCAGTCTGCAGTCCACAGAACAAATGTCATCTTCGGGGTTTTTTGGGGGGCTTTGTTTGTTTATTTGGAGTAATTTCAGTAATTTGCACTGTGCACCCCTATTGCTCTGGTCAGAATACATCCAACTATCTCTGGAATAGAGGTGCTTTAATTACTTCTTTCCACTGCTCTGGCACATAAAAAAGCTGCCTGCAGACACAATTAGCTACATATATTTCACTAATACTAAGGGTTCATAATCTCTATTCAATGGTAATTTGTGACAACCATTGCAAAAAACAAACTGCAAGAAAAAAAGGCAGTACTAACATTGGATCAAAATGATTGCTCATCCTTTTAACTCCTGACCTTACCTGGCGGTTGTTTTTTTTGATACGGTGAGAGATGCCTGTGGATGTAGAATGTAACTGCTTGCACTGTCTGCTATAGCAGCCACGGCCACAGTCTGCAAGTTCCCATCACCACACTTCTCTTCCGAGACATCTTTGCAAAAATAAAACATCCTCCTAGTTAATAACTGAACTCAGAATGGGGAAATGACAACCTATGATTAAACTTGTGCGTTGAAAAAGCAAGCACTTTGACATATGAGGTAAGATTTCTAGATAGTAAAGTAGTTTAATAGTTGTGAATCAATACTCAAACTCCAGGCACACATATGAAGATACACTTGATAAGGCTGTTTGTACTCAAGGACTGTGGTAATCATGCTACTGCTAATGAATCCTTCAACAACAAAGCAAATAATTAGAAGAACTCGTAAATTACTCTGCTTTACATTTCCACAAATTCATATAGGACTGCACAAGTATTTTGTCTGGCTGCAAATCACACACTGGTTGCTTTTAAAATAAGAAAAAAAAAAAAAAAAAAAAGGAGACTACGATACTGCTTTGTACATGGAAAAGAACACCTGAACAAGTGTCCTGGTTTCAGCTGGGATAAAGTTAATTTTCTTCCTAGTAGTTGGCATAGTGCTGTGTTTTGGATTTAGTACGAGAAGAATGTTGATAACACATTGATGTTTTAGTTGTTGCTAAGCAGTGCTTACACTAGGCAAGGACTTTTTCAGCTTCCCATGCTCTGCCAGGTGTACAGGAGGCTGAGAGGGGGCACAGCCAGGACAGCTGACCCCAAATGGCCAAAGGGGTATTCCATATCATATGACATCATGCTCAGTATATAAACTGGGGGGAGTTGGCTGCGGGGCAGTGATCGCTGCTTGGGACGGGTGAGGCATCAGTCGGCGAGTGGTTGCATCACTTGTTTTTCCTGGGTTTTGTCTCTCTCTTCCTCCCTTGTTGTTTTCCTTTTTATTACAATATTAATATTTCAATTATTAAACTGTTCTTACCTCAACACACAAGTTTTCTTATTTTTGCTCTTCCAATTCTCTCCCCCATCCCACCCGGGGGTGGGAGGGGAGGGTGAGCAAGCGGCTGTGTGGTGCTTAGTTGCCAGCTGGGGCTAACCCACGACAACAAGCAAAACCAGGCTTCTTGTAATTGAATCTGACATGCTGTTAGAACAAATGTTTTAGCCTTTCTTGATAACAGGGAGCATCCATAAGCCAAAAAATACTGTTAGACTGAAGCCTGTGTGTAGAGTTAAACAAAAACATAATGGGAAACTGTGAAAGCAGATATTTGATACTTTGGTCTCAAGGTAAAGAAAAGGGAGCTCCCTTTAGATGCGGGATTTTTGCCCTTCAATTATGAAAGCTTCTTTCCCCCATCCCAAGGGAGAGAGATAAGCTATTGACTCAGTACAGAAGTCACTCCGCTAGAAAGCTTATGCCAGAGGATTCATAACTGTGCACCTCAGAGCAACATCACTCTGGCTCAAAGCTGAGAGCACTGGTTCCTTCTACATAGACGTTCCCTTAATACACCAAGGTCTACTCTGAAGCCTGTGTCCTTTCATGTGTTACCACCACCTGCAGGGAAGTGAAACTCAAGGGCTGACAGTCCATTCTCCTTCCCCTTTAATCTCCATAGTAAACCACTGACAAGTCTTCCTAACTGTCTTTTAAAGATCGAATAACTACAAAGTCTTTTACACAGTAAATCTCTAGGAAAAAAAACAAAAACAAAAACCCCTGTAGCACTGTTGCAGAACACATATTCAAATACTGTGAAATGGAGCTATTTGCAAACAGGGAGCTCCATGTAGAATGAAAAAGGGAATACAAAAATACAATTCAGCATTGCAACTTACTGCCTACAAAAAAAAGTAGCAGCAATTCTTTAGTAAGTGAAGGCTCACAGTCAGCTTGAAGTCACGTAAGACTACACTGTAACCAAATGGTGGTTTTACCCCTGCAAGAGCAGGTGGAGCGGGAGGAAAGGATCAGCATTAGGACAGGAGCAACCCTTTCAATGCAGCCTCATGAAACCATATTCCAACTATAAGTGAAAGAGGCTGGCACATGACTTGAATCCCAACTCTTTTTTTTCTATCCACCCAGCGTCAGGACTCTATCAGTCTTACCTTTGACCTCTCATTCCACAGGGGCGCTAGCACTCAGATTTTGAGAATTTGCTCAGATTTTGAGAATTATGTACAGAAAATGCAAAAATGTGGTAACCTAGTTCTCAGTCTTATTCTGCAAATGTGAACTAGTACATTTTGCCACCCAGCAAGCCTTGCAGATAATCAATGCCTTCAGATTTCAGTATGTCCCTCTTCTGAAGAAAAGCTTAAAATCAGCACTTCTAATTGTACATCTCACCACATACTTAGAATGTGACAGTTAACGCACTGAGGGAAAAAAATTAGCAATGAAGTGGAAGTTACATCTCATTTTCTTCATTGGAAACTGAATTTCTACCTATGTACTTCATTCCCGGCCTCACAAAAGATGCATCAACACAAGTGATCTCTGGAACAGACCAGAATAACATTAATTCTTCTATCTGCATTACATGAATTAACTACTTCATTCAAAATGAAGTAAACAGACAGTGAAAATTTGAAGCTGACAGTACAGCTGTCTGACTTGGCACAAATATCCTTGTTAATGGTAAATAAGGCAAGAACCAGCTTTCCGCTTGATATCTCAATTTATCCATCACGTATCTAAAATAAGCATAATAGCTCTTATTTCATAAGGCTTTTGTCCAACAGAAAACATGGTGTGTGGGGTGTGAGATTCATAATCAGAAAGCAGATTCTGCAAGTATCTATTTTTGTCTTATAACTGACTAAGGAAAGGAAACACATACAAACAAGGTGCTTAAAAAGAGATTGTGCAGGACGTGCTTAGAACACACACCCTCAAGTCCCACAGGTTAAACTCACCCTGCGTGCTGGTCACATCCAGAAGCTGACCTTGAGGAATAATCACTTGGGCCATTCCTGGCTGGGCAGAAGGAATGACATGCAGCACCTGTCCATTTTCTGACTGGCTGGCAACAATCATCTGTAAGGCAATCACACAAAAGCATGAATGGCACTAGTTTGTATGGTGATCATCATGCAGCGCGACTGGGCTTGCTTATTACCAGAACAGGAAAATTTCTGGTTGGAATTAGGGCCTATAAATTAACTTGATTTCACATAATAAGGAAACTGCCTATTTACTGTCAATTTCTTAAAATTATTTTCCCCCTTTTAGAATAACCCTTTAATTGATTAAAAGAGAGAAAAAAAACCCACCTTACGGGATTCTACAATAAATCACTTTTTGAAACTTATAACAGCATTATTAAAGCTACCAAAAACCTGAAAGCCATTCATATTTGGATTCACTGTAACCCCATTCACAGGCTGGCAGAATTAATCATAACATATAAAAATTTTGACCTTTACTCCTAAGAAACTGACCTCTACGGGCAGCATTTTATGCAAAAGCAGATAGAATAAAAGGTCCAGGACTTAAAAAAAAAAAAATTCAATCTCCTAGAATTCTGGAAAACTTAAACAACTCCTTATGGTAAATTTTCCCATAATTACCAAGGACTTGTTCCCAACAACGTTATAAAATCTAGAATAATATAAAATATCACCTTGTTCCTGATTTATTACACTTTAAATGGGTGAACGGTCTTTTAGTGCCAGTGCAACACATGCCTACCAAACCCTCTGGGTGAGAGGATACCTTTTTACAAAATAAGCATTGAGAATTACAAAGCAATCTTTTAAGCAAATTAATTGGGGGGGGAGAAGAGGAGACATAATGGGTTAGCATATTGCTAATGTTTCAAACCCCCCTTGAAAAAACCACAGAGACACTTATCCAAGGAATATAGAGAAAGCAGCAGTGGTAGAAGTATGAGAAGTCTCAAACAAAACCATCCAGGCTTGATAATGAGAAAAGACCTAAGCTGTTTAATAAAATTAGTAATGGCTGGAGACAGGATTTGCCTACCTGAGGAAGGGCAAACGAAACATGAACTGAACCACTGAAAAGTTTCACCTTGTTGCTAAAGCCTGAGTCAGCTGTTGTTACAACAAACAAGCACCAGGTAAAAGAGTTCTTCTAAGAGCGCTCCCCCATCTGTGAACACACCACCTGCCCTGTTTCAGACACACTCACCACGGGCGCACTGGGCCCTCCTAGGGGCTGCAGCTCATAGAGAGGCTGCCCGGTCTGGTCTACCAGGTGGAACTCCTCTGCAGAGTGAGGCTGTGGTTGGGGTGGCCGCGCAGGCGCAGCCAATGATGGAGAACTGCCCGAGAGGTGTACTGCAATGGGCAAGGCTGCGGGAGAGTCACTCTGTCCAAACAATGGATCCCTGGAATCCATGCAGGTTAGATGCTTTCACAGAGGAAAACCAGTAAAATGTACTTTAATCTTGAGTAGCAATTTCTATTAAAAAAAAAAAAGAAAGAAAAAGAAAAAGAACATTTAAAACCAGTGTGCTGTACTGTATACTGGGACAGAACTCTTGTCCTTCTGATCAAGAGGCTACTAGTTAACACTAGCAGTTCAGTTTTTGTTTTCTGTTTCTATGCTGAAAATATATTCATATTTCTGCTTCCTAGAACGAAGTCTCTCTACTAAAGGGAAAGAAAATCCCTTGTGCCCCAAATCTGTTCCCCAAAAGCACTCATCACTTTAAAACATCTCAAGTCTACCCAGAAACTGAAACAACTTATGCCAAAACTGTAAACATCCACCAACTTGATTTGACTTCAAAAGAAATCCTAGATACTATTCCACTTGGCCTTTAGATACACGCATTTAGCTACGAAGACAAAAATCTCTACATGCTTTCTTAGTTCTTTACCACAGAAGAAACACAAGCAACACAAAAGCACCAATTCAAGTCCAAGAACTACAGTGCAAGACCAAGAATCAGATTTTGCAAGTCTCAAAAAATAGGTACTCAGACCTTATTCTCATCAAGCTCGCAGAATCAAGGTCTTACAGCACATCCCATTTTCCTTAAATGTAAATGTTTAAGTGCAAATATCTGCCTTATTGAAACTCCGACAACACAAATATTAAACATGTAAAAATAATGGAAAATAGGCAGCCATTGTGTAAAATATCATGTCAGGCTGTCATTTGGCCAATACAAATCCAAAGAGTAGGGAAAAATGTTTCTAAATTTAATATTGAAGTCAGATCTGGGCCAAATAAGACAAATAAGACAAATAAAGGCAAGGAAAAAAACACATTGATGAAATACCACACAAAGTCAGATCTGGGCCAAATAAGACTATAAAAGCAAGGAAAAAAACACATTGATGAAATACCACACTGTAAATTCATCAGAGAGGATGTAAAGAAAGCATCTACAAAGACAGGACATTCATACCTCACCTGAAAAAAAACGGTCATTTGTTTCTGACTCTCCTGTACTATTACAGTTGCCTACGAACAAATCGTTAGATCCTTCCATAGCAATGCCATGGTCAGCTCCATTTTCTTCCATTACAAGATGACCTGAAACAGTTACAAAAGTTTATTTCAGCCTTCTGCACTTCAGCCTCAGACAAGACATTACTGCAGGGTTTTTTTCGGTCTTATGAATTTAGTCTTACAAGTTCTAACGCCGTTGCAAGCTAACAGCAAAGCCCTCAAGAAATCCTTGCCTCTTTATCGTTTCATTACTCACTGCAGAAAAATTTCAGTGCGTTGCTCCAGGAGTATAGTTTAGCCTCTTGTACAAGACAATTTGCTTGGCTTGTCATTCCACACACAGATACAAAACACACATACATACTCTCATGATTTTCAACTAAATATGTCTCCAAGCATTCAACTAACAGCCATACACACCTAGAGAACACTTGATATTTAAAGATATGCCAGGACTGCTTTACAAAAATATTAGTCATCTACTTCCATAATCAACAGACAGGATTTGCGTTATCCAACTCCGTGATACAGCCATCTTGAAGTAAATTACATTTGTTTTAAAGGGTTATAAAACAACACACAATGAAATAAAATTTCTATTGTTAGTCTACAGCAGTAAGCTTTGGGCAGGAAAAACACCAGGTATCTGAAACCAAATTTGGCATTAATCATGTGACGAAAGACAAAAAGACAAGAGTTCCTGGCACTTCCTATCCCAAAAACAAGTACTCCAAGGAGCTCAGTTGCGCACTATAAACCTCCAAGCAAACAGAGAATATTGGTGAATTGCCACATCCACAAGGTAAGGCTTTCACCCAGACAGTACACCCTGTAAAGCAGTGAGCAATCATAAGCAGCAAGAAAAATGATAAATTAACTTGGACCCTATGTTACTAAAGTACATATATACTAGACTACACACATAATATGCGAAACTGAACAGAAGAAAACTTAATTCCTGCAGTTTGGGGTGAGGGAGGGGGAAAGGTGTTCAGCATTTTTCCCTTCAGTATTTATTTTAAAGACAGGCAGCATTATATTAGCATATGGCTCCTACCAGCTTTATCTTCTTCACTATATCTTCTTCACTACACCACACAGTAAATTCCTTGAGACGGACCTTCTTGGCTGTGATATTTCAACTGTTAACAGCTTTAGTAAGGAGAAGTAAAAGGCTAGAGAGTCGCTTGAAAAGAAATGTACAACCCTGGAAGCACAAGTTTATTTTGCTTTGCAAAGACATAAAGGACCACAGGCAAAGTAAATCCACATCTCCTTGGCTTTTGAAGCTGAATAAAGCATCCTGCTGATACAAACAACATTGTGAAGTTAAGCTGCTCATATGCTCAGTATACTAAATACTTTAATCTAAAGCAGATTTATTTTTCCATTCAATTTTCAAGTGATGACACTCCAAACCAAGTTCCAAATGAAGTTATCTCAAATTTACCAAATACTTTGTAGCTTTGGATCTGAGAACAATTATGAGATGCTTCAGTTAAATGTCTGAAGCATGTTAGCAGCAAATGAAAAGAAGACAGAAAACTAAATTTCATCATCACTCAAGCATTTCCCCTCATTTAAAAGATATAAGGAGGATATGCCAGTTTTGACAAAGCCGCACATTTAGTTCTTTGAGATAAACTGAAGAAGTTTGTTCCAGAGATACCGATGGCATGTACCCTGAGCGTGCTGGAACCCAAGTACAGAACACAAGGACAGCTGTATCAGGACGGACTAACGGCACGAGTAGCCAAATATCCTGTATCTAACACTGGTTAATAATAAAGCTCAGGGAAAAAATGACAGCAGTAGGGTAAATATACAGTGATACATATCCAGCTTCCTCTTATAAGCAGCCCAGAAATGTCTGAAGTTTTATCTGTGTTTAAAAAATGCTCATGGTACATTTTTTGCCCTGTGATTTTGCCCAATCACTGTTCTAACCCAGGCAAACCATTGGCACACACATCACTCTGGACAATGAACTTCATAGGTTAATGAAACCTGGAGGGTTAAACCAAGTGCTGTGCAACCCCAAACAAAAAAGATTTTTTTTTTTGTCTTAAAGAAACATACTTTTACAGGTACTTACAAGTGCATATATTGTTAAGAAATTCTATAGTTATATATATTTTGCTAACAAATTTCCCAAATGAGGCAGTTAAATCCTGTATACATATATACATATGAGTATTTTGTCACATATGAGTAAATAACAAGTATCTCTTCTTTTCATAAACATTGTACGTAAGCGCCACAAAAATTTCCAATCTAACGGATGCCACATTTATCAACAGGTTGAAGGAGAAACGTGGGAGTTTAATGTTGGTGTAAAACAGGACCGACAGCTGTATCCTCAGGGCACACACCAAATGGGCAGCTCCTCATGCCTCAGCTTTAGCCTTAATGCAGCTCCACCCAAACCCCTCTGTGGGCTGCTCTGCATGAAGTCCACTGACTTCCCTTTGCTCAAAATCAACGGAAATCTATGGCCATTGCTATCTTTGGTTCAACTCTACAAAGCCAGCAAGCAGCCACAGAAATTGCTAGCGCAGGCAAACACGATAACCATTATGAGCATTTTATGCAGGGTCTCACAGACAGGATCTTCAAGAGAGCAAACAGTACACACTGCAATCTAGCCTACACGTTGCCATCAGTGGTTCAATTCCAAAGACAAACGCACTGATAGCTCAAGATCATTTCGCAAAACACAACAGGAGGTCAGATCTCCGTTAATTCAGCCATCGAGAACTCCTGTGATAACACAGCTGACAAAGCCAGGGGCACCTCTCGCAATACTAGGTTTGTCATCCCCAGACACATTTTGCACAATACTGGGTGCTCTCAACAGGAACAGGATTTCAATGCCCACTCTGAGATTAACCTTTCTCCTAACAGGTGCAATCGCCTCTCTAATCCAGAAGCCTACATACTGACTCTTTATATACACAAACTTTTAAAGGCACTAACAGAAAAGTCAAACCAGCATTACTTTAAAATCCTATTATTGACCAGTCACATCTCCGCTCTGCCTTAAGGCACAGTATTAGATTTCTGTATTTTCTTGCCCCCAATTCTTTATTCTGTGGTAATACCTATACACACCAACTAAAAGCAGTTAGTTGTTCTAGCCTGACATAATTTTAAGGCCTTGTCTGAAGGCTTGCTTCTGCCTTCCCTCAGTTACGAGGCCTCCTTGTGAAGGCAGCGTACAGCTGGATCCCAAAGGGAAGGACTGTCTTTCAATATCCCAGAGATAATTATTTTAACACTGAGTCAATATTGCAAGAGTTCAGTTCTGAGAAGAAGAAACCTAACCTGTTAAAAACACCTAAGTCTGTTGTGATAATAAGCTAGGAGTACTCTGTTGGAGCAGGAAGGAGGAAATCCTACATTTTTCAAGCTTCAAGTCCTCAATGCATACCCATTAAAAAAAAAAAAAAAAAATCAAAGCTTGACTGTGCAAGTTCATGTTTTCAGCACTTCCAACAGCAATATTCCCCATTCTGGTTTTAATTTATACTTCTTGACAGGAAATACATACAGTTGAATGCCTCACCAACAATCTTTTTTGGGTTTTCCAGTAAATGTTTCAGAAGTTTTATAAAAATATTTAAGATAATTGCATAGCTTACAACAGTTAAACACTCTATCTGAAAAAGCCACCTCTGATGACATTTCTCTACCACCATTATAAAGGGCATACATTACAGCAAAAGGTAACAGGGAGGAAACTAGGATATGGTGATACCCCTAAGTACATGAGTTACAATTAGCTTCACATTAACTTGTACCAGGTTTGAGATTTAGCTTATTACTGTCATGGAAGTGCAGGCAGACAATGTAAAGACTGCTCAGAAGATCTGGGGATTCCAACTTAAAAAGGTTTTTCAAGTAAATCACTTCTGTGTAGCTAGCACAAGTACCTGGAAACGCACCTGTGCCAATTACATTGACAAACAACGTTAGGTCTTTTAAATACACTTAAGAAACAGAGGAGATTTCAGAGTCTCACAAAACATAAAGACTCAATACCTGCCCGCTCCAACAAGTTGCCCCAACTGGACTTACCACACAGGGAAAGCTCAACTGTTCCCCCGAGAGGCCACAAGTAACTGTCAAAAAGGCGGGAAAAGGAGACAGATAAACAAGCATACAGCAGGCACTCACACAAGCAGCCTTCTCCCAAAAAACCAAATTCACTTACAGCTTTTTTGAGAGCCCCCTGCACGTTGGGCTTATTGCTTCTACCAGGAAGTTTATTGTTGATGCGCCGCTTTACGCGCAAAGCAGCACAACCCGAATTACACCAGGACGGCACCATCAGCAGAGCGAACAGGCCCCCCCACACACAGACCCACACCCACACCAGCTCACCGGCTCCAGCAACGCCGCAGCCCCCCAGGGGAACCACTCACCGCCGCGGGGGCAA